TCAACACTAAAAATATGGGCAGTTGAAAAAGTGCTTTTTGGTAGACTAGATGACCAATCGCTTCATAAGGCGAAGCCACTTTTCAGCCTGCAACACGATATGACGGCGAAAAATAAATAAGCCACTTATCACACCCACTGCTCTCTGTTAATATATTCTAAAGAATTCAGCGTAACTCTCTAGACATATACTCAGGAAGGTATTTGTATCATACAAGCGGGGAACAATATCTTGATTTACGTCACACTTATGCAGATATCGCCCGTTTTCCCAAGGGTGTTTAATATGCACATTTCTGGTGATGGCGCTGTTCCCCGTTTTCATGTCATTATACGAGCAGATATTCTTTACCGCCGTGATTACTCTAAACCTGGGATCATGGCTGAAACCCGTAAAATATCCGCCGACTACTGGCCTCGTTCATTCAACTTACTCCATATTAAAGGCCCAAGCCGATTACTGGCCTCGTGCATTCAACTTACTCCATATTAAAGGCCCAAATGAAAAATTTGCAGTGTAACCAAAGTATTTGTTTTTTTTTGTATGAATATAGCCCTCAGGGTTCAAACTGTGACGTCATGCAATATATACACAAACAAACAACCTGGTTTATAGATGAATCTTTTTTGATCCTTCGGTAAGTAAGAACATAAAATATCCTATATCCATTGTATCATATTCGTTTTTATTAATAAACGCTATAAATAACAGTGTTTTGTTAAGGTGGACGTATGTTCTGAGAGCTGTAAACGAATTTTAGTTCAATTATCAGAGCAGATCATGTCTAACTGCTGTAGGGAGAGTAAATGAGATTAACGGAGTACGGGATGAGAGCGGGAAGGAGCCCGGAGCTGGAGACATCACGCGGGACAGAATTATTAAAACTTTCCTCAGTTCGAGTTTGCGCTCTTTCATAACCTTTAGGCTAACAATGACATATCTCTGTCCAAGATTTTAATTAAAAATCAGAACTGGATAGTAGCCTACGAACTATTTTTGACTTTTCTATTAAACGCTTTATATTCGTTGTTGGAAGCCTATTGATACTTCTGATTAAAGCTAGACAGGAAAGAATACAGCACCATTCAACTCTTTGAATCTGCGTTTCCATTTGTGAACGAACTCAAATCATTATCAGGCTATGTTGATTAAATGAACATTCTTGGTTTGAATGTTACTCACTACATAAGTTTGGACTTACTCTCTCGATGGACTCTAACCAAAGAAAGTAAAACGATTAAGGACACGAATGGAATGCCAGTGACATTAATTATATTGTTCCAAGGTTTTAGGGCATCGAAGAGATTGACTTAGTTGAGGAGGTCAGAACACCACCATTATTTTCTAAATATCTGCTTATGTTTCTGTAAATCGACGGCATTTACTAAACGTCAAAACTCAGAAGAACAGTATAATAAGTCTCACAGCCGTGAAATCCTAAAATTCCACTTGTTTGAATATAGATTATTACTATACAGACATTCGTATGGGTCAGAGATATGAGGTTATCACGGCAGTGGAAATTTCGATGTCGATTGTGGAAATGCTTGGATTCGGAGGACCATATATCCTGCGTCTTCAGGGTAAATCTAATAGTGTTTAGAAAAACGAACTACAAGGAGGAAATGAGATTAAATGAAAGGAAAATTGGAGAGGTAGTTGGTAAAATACAATGGAGAAGGGAGACGAAAAGAATATATGTGAACGAAGTTGTTTTTTCTCATGTAATCTCCATACCTGTAGGCCATTGTTTAATAATACGGGATTGTTCAGTGAGGGGAGGATTAACATTCTTAGATGGTGGTCTTATGGGCTATTATTTAGCTGTATACAAACTTTTTAAATTTACGTGTTGGTAACATTTTTAAATTTAATAATTCACATGACTTAAATCAACACAAAAGGGGCTTTTTTTTTACTAGTAAAGTTTAATTTGCACGTTAAATATAGGTGACGTGGAGTTTGGATTTTATACTTGGTGTAGTGTACCTTAAATGTAATAAATAAAGGCAGACGGCATCTCAGCCGATCCGCCTTTTTGAATCCCAGGAGAGAAACAATTTGCAAAGAGTAAGGTATGAAGTATCGAGAAGCGGTCGGCTTGCCAAATGGATACGTGGAGGTTAAAGCTGAAGGATTTTCTCAGAAAGATATTTCACGCACTAACGCATATACCTATTTCTCCATCACACATTTTTAAATCCGACGAAATATTTTTTCAAAAGTAAATGCTATTTCAATGTAGATTTACTGTTTTGAGACAGACGTACTTATCGAATTATTTAGCGAGCACAGTGGCAACTTACGATGCATGCGAGTGTACTGATTTATATCGAAGGTAATTTAACAAGAACCGAAAAAATGTAGAGAAAAATTTAAACCGAAAAAATGACTTCGTATGGGTGACACAGTTGTAAATTAAATGCTCAATAGTCGTACAATCTTTTATAAATGTCGAGAATGCCATGCTTAATGCAGATACATCTTTCATTATAGTGTAAACCGCTTTCTGGGACAATTGTCTCATGAAATACACACGGTGTCCTGTGTTTAATCCCAATACAATTGTTTTAGGAACTTCGTAAAGTAATTATTGATTTGATGTGGTCTGAGGTTCTCACGTTGGGGAATCTGCCCTCTGCGATGTACCACAATGTAGCGTGGTAGATATTTTCCGACGTTTCAGAGGCGCTGACTACCTTTATCATCAGGGTAATGACATCTCATCGTCCTAATAATGTAAACAGTCATGTCTTGTAACTTGCCTCTAATGTCTCCTTCCCAGTGGGACTCAAGTTACTATTGATAATCATTTTTTATTTGTTCTTGATAATATGTTATTTACAAGTAGAGGTGTAATATAATCTAAAGTAAACACGGACATATTTTCAAATGCGTTCTTTACGATTTTGAGTAAGTTTTTGAAACACACTGCACAATAATACATTATTTATATGTATTTCGTTAAATGATAGCCATATTGTAAACCGTTTTGAATACGTTTTTGGCCAAGGTGTTGTAGGCCTATTTTACGCCATGAAACAATTTTTTATATAACAAGTCGTTATAAACTATACAATTATCGATATGAGTTTATTGTATAATAGCGACATGTTTAAAATGTTATTATACACAACTATATTATTTTGTCTTGCGTTTAATTCACCTGCGACAAGACGTTGACCTGAAATGGGTTTTAGAGCCCGAAACATGCTGTCGCAAGTGAATGAAATACAGACAGACCTACCTATAATGTGGTATTTTTATACCAAAACGTATAAAATCTCTGCACTGTTACGTTACTGATTTTCATTGTAGGTTGGAAAACCCTGCAGCCTTTGTTTCTGTTGGCATTTGTTATGGTTGAAGGAACTCCACGGTCGTCGTCGCATTTACAAACGACATTCAGACCATTTCCATTGTTCCCTGCTTCTTCAGCTCACCCCCAGATGTCTCTAGGGCTTTCTTCCTTTTTTCTGATTTATTCAAATGTAAATGCATTTTGAAACACTTCAGTTGTTAGCGTTAATAAATGTAGGCCTACATAAGGACATTGTTTTACCAGTACTCACTTTTGTAGGAGACAAGCAGTATTGTTAAGCACATTACGGCTTGAGACAACTTAATTAATTATACAACTGGCAGGCGTTTGATGTGATTGTTTTCAAAAACTGTTTTACTTCGACGTTAATTAAGTGTACGACCTTCTAAAATTTTGTTAATTCATTTGCTTTCTGTGAGCTTCGCAACTCGGAGGTGAATATTTATTGAAGATGGTTGGTTGTCTTCTGGGTTATTGCGCCGTGTAGTCTGGTAGAAGTTTACCAACGTTTCAGACGTCCTTGCTGCCTCCATTACTAGACACTCACGCCCTGGTGAAGGAGCAAGCAAGCAAGCACCTCTGAAACGTCGGTACTTCTACCAGACTACGCGAGACATCAACCTAGAAGTGAGTACCTCAAGTCTGAATGTGCATTCATCGTCCTAGACAGTCAGTTATCATGTATTAATATATGCTTTTACTGTAGTTGACACAGAGGAAGTCGACTTAGCTTTAAAATACATTTGTGTTTCGGAATGGTACTACGTTTGAAGCTCGGCCGGGTTACAGACTATCATGAATTATGTATTTCGTAGTTTTCGTCATTTTTACTGGTTGAAAGTTCCGTTGGCAATTACAAGTATACAATAGTTTTCCGTCTTCCACAGGTTTCATCCGCAGGTTTTACTCCGAAAAATGTTTTCTGCATTCCCAATATATGTAACATAACCTTAAATATGTTACAAATTGCGAAGGAATTTTATTTCTGGATTGTAAATGGTAGAAAAAATCAGAAAAGTGTAAGCGTATTTATATTCGTATTTTTTTCCCAACGAAATAGCTAAAGAAACTTACTAAATGTATATAATTAGCTGTTTGACACATATAATTAATGTAGAAAGGGAAGAAGGGAAATTAGAATAAAATTATAGTCTGAAAAACTAAGAGAAATGGCTGGAAGACAGACACACGTGGGAGGTTAATATTGAAATGGATCACAAAGGATAGGTTATGAGCGTTTGGAGTGGATTAAACTGGGTGAAACTAGGAAAAAGTGGGTCCATATGAACAGAGCAAAGAACGTAAACGGTGGGAATTTTTTGAAAAGCTGGGTTACTATCAGTTTACCGATAAATATTTAGCTACAGTCAGTAATGTGTGATCTGTTAGGAACAAAAATTGTGAATAGAAGTGTTTAAAATTTGTGTCGTAGGATAGGAACAACATTTTTCAAAACACAAGGCGATTCAATAGAAAGTGTTTTATTTTATTTTAGGCTCATAAGCCCGTTTGACACCGATCCGCAAAGAATGATTGAGAAAAATGAAGCAAACTAATTTATTTTGATAAGCATTCACAAATAATACTTTCCTATTTGGTGTCCAAAAGTTTTCAGTAGTCTGCATCAGTAATGTTTCCTCTTGGAGTGTATTATAAACCTATAAATTCTTTCTTTCAGATCCATATTGGCTGAGGGATTTGTTTGTCCCCATTTGTACGTACCATAGCCGTCTGTTTCATGGTTGAATCGACTACAAGGTAAGATTAATGTAATGTAGATAAAAATTTCAGGTTATTTGTAATGTATACGCATTTTTACTTTATCGCGGTTGATTTCAGTAGGCCATTTAGTGTCTAGCGGTTAGAACGCTGGCCTTGTAATCCTGGGGTCTCGGGTTCGATTCCCGGCTGTGCCCGAATTTATAACTTGTGTTGGGCAAGGCCGTGGTCTAGGCAACACGGAGTTTTCCTCCGTGGCATCCCAACAATTACTCCATTCACACACAGAAGAAGGCAATGGCAAACCACTTCTGGATCATCTGCCAAGAACGTATATGAACAGGTCCCAGTCCGAGAAAAGGATGGAAGGATTCTGTTTATATGGACCTGTCGTCAGACAGAACCCAACGAACAAACAAACAAACAAACAACTTTAGCAAACGAAGTGTCTCGTCGAGAAACACTGCCCATTTCTGTTCTGCTTAATTCCTCAGAAAAATATGGTTGAAAATTAGTTCTCTGCCAACTATTGACATTCATGAAAACAAGCCAAGAAATTTTAAAAATGTTAATTACAAGTTACGTAGGAAACACATAAACAAAGATGGCCTTTATTTTTCTAAATTGAACTGATAACGAAAGTGGTTAAAGGACGGTTTTACAAACAAGAGAGACTTAAATTTTCTCAGTGAAAGTTTCTTAGAATATCCTTACTTTTGCACTGTTACAAAGCATTGTATTTGCACTGTGTTTTGTGCCAATTATTGTAGGTACTTTGTTTACATCGTCCAAAGTTTGGAATTCAATTAATGCATTTGCACACGTGTGTGTAATTGACAGAACATAAGCGTGTAGGAGCTGGCGTTGCAATGAATGTTTGTTTTGTTACGTTGCATATCCTCAGTATCCCAATATTGACGCTGAGTTCTGTAATTACATTTTGCTGGGTGAATGCGAAAGTTAAGTAATCAAGAAACAATAACATACAAGAGGATAACTGACTGGTTGGTATAACCAGCAGATTCGTAACTGGTCACGCTTACTGCAGTCATCAGTTTTGAATAGACAGCTTTCATAATTGCTAGGGTTAAGTGGGGCTTGATTCGGACCATATTTTTCGTCGTGAAACATTGTCATCCATCGCTGAAACCTACGCATGTCAGCGTATTTAAAGAGAACTCAGTATTATGTCCAAGTATTCTAATGGTAATCAATTTACACTTTTATTATTTAAACTGCATTGAGAAATGGCGTGTGGGAGGAGAGTGTTTTGTTCAATACTCCTACTACTAAAACTAAGTAAATGTCACTCGCGGAATTTTTATAAATAAACAATAAATTTGATTAACTGTAACCTATAGTTTTCACTGATGTATTTTGTATGGCACTAGAGTGATTCCGGTGGACCCAAGGTTCGTGGGTTCAAAACCGGCCGAGGTCGATGGATTTTTAAGGGTGATAAAAATCCGTATCACAACTTCCATCGGAGGGGAAGTAAAGCCGGCGGTCCCATGTCGTAGATTTACGGCATGTAAAAGAACCTTACGAGATGTTTCGTAGGCAAAATTCAGCGGCCATTTCTCACCCATGCCTTTCCTGATTCACTACTAGATGGCTCTAGCAAACAAAATCGGGATTGAGAAGAAATTGTGCAGAGGCAGTGGGCTTGTCACTCACTACTCACAGATACACGCTTCAAAGACTAAGAAACCTCCGACAGGAGGCGGCTAAGTTCCCCACACTGGGTTGTAGAGCCACAGGAAGAAGAAGAAGAAGAAGAATACGAGTGACGAGCTCGTGTGAACACGGTAATTAACCTTCTTCCAAGACGGGGCATCTCTTGACTAGCTGAGCATTTTGCTAATTTCACAAAAAAGGACTTTGCTCCACGGAGTTGGTGAGCAAGTGAGATAATTAGCATGAAAGATAAAATTAAACTGAATAACATGTATCAATTCTCAAGTAATTAAAATAAGTTATCAACCGGAGATTATATGTGATCGTCGGTTTTTATCGGTATTACCATTTGTTCACCATTACGTAATATTACGGTTCTCTGTCAGAAATTTATTCAAACACAAATCTCGCATGGTGATAAATTCGTGCATGGAGAATAATGTCGAAAAATAAAGATTTAAATAGAAAGATTTCTATTCTAAAATAAGTATGAAGATCATAGATAATTCCTGTACATTTGCCTATTTCCGATTTAAAGGACACGGAACTGTAAAGGAGCATTACATTGCAAGAGCGCATACAAATTACGTTATTTCAGCAGTAGCTGAAGTGACCTACTTACTGTGAATGTTAATGAGTGCTTCTGTGGAATAGTTTGGTTCACTAATACGGAAAACCTTTTAAAGTAATTTCCTGTGACCTCCTTGACGTTCAAATAGAGACTATTGGCTTCTCACGGTATAGTGCCTCGTTTGACGCTTTTTCCCCATAGGTGCGTCTCCAGTATCAGAATCATCTTATCTTAGATTCTTTAATTTCTCGCTTCAGCTATACGAGTGTGTTATTTTCTATAGAAGTGTTTCCAGTTATGTCAGAATCAGTTAACTGGCAAGCGATTGCTATGATATATAAAAACAGGAACTTGCGAGTTTTATCAGAAAAGTTTTTTGTTTCTTTATATTAAGAATGCATCTGACAGTATATAAAATTTTGGGTAAATTTTTGGTTTTTCCTTTCTGCCGCGTACCAACAGTGGTACGCGTTTCACAATTTGGAAAACACTGCTCTAAAATTTTGTGACAATGGCTGATCTTTTAAACACTTTGTTGGGTATTGTCTATTGTCGGAGGTATATTTGACATGCACGACGTTTCGGGAGTTGGGTATACTTCTATCTTCAGGTGACTGGTTGACATACTGACCATTTTTATACTGTTAGTGGTAATGGCCGGGATCGAATTGGGTGTCTGGTAGTCAGCGTTCTGGCCTAGCATATGAAAAGCCCCAGGTTCGATTCCGACTGAAAATATATCAATATAGTGACAGTCACCTGAAGATGGAAATATTGCCAGTCTCGAAACGTTGTGTATGTCAATAACTAAAACCTCAGTCAGTGGATAATGTCCAAAAAAGTGTTCCTGTAATTAAGAAGTAAGTTTTATATCTTTGCTTCTGGTTGTATCGCTTATTTTCCTCAGTACTGTTATGTATATGATTTTCCATTTAGGGTCCCAGTAAAATATATAAGTGAACAGAGTCACTAGAGTTATGTTAGAGTCGTGGACAGCAAATTCCCGGTGTTAGACGGATTAGTTTTTCTGCACGTATAACTCAACTGAATAAATTATAGAATATATAAAGGTAAACAAATACTTATATATTTCTACACCAATCCGTAATAATCGTTAGCTGTTGTTTAGGAACCATCGCTTGCGACAGTCTATTGAATTCCCCACTTTCACTAAACACTTTCCTTTCTTTTAGGAAAAAGCAGTTAATAATTCAATTCAATTTTTTATTATTATTATTAATGTGCTGTATCAACAGGTAGAAGGCTAATTACAGATACAACACAGAGATGAGCACACGAACACAATAAAAACATATAAGGTAAAACAAGCAGAATATAAAATACATTAGTACGGTGGACGTTAATACACAAGAAAATTGCAACTAAATATATTAGCATATTTGTAAAAATAATTTAAATCAATTAAGTAAATTATATTATTATAGAATGTGAAGAAGTGTGACAATTTTCGTCTCGAATATGTCCAAGTCCCTGCAGACAACATTAGCAGCTAATACGCATATAGCAGAAGGACTGTTTTGGATCAAATGGCTAAAACTGAACATAGAAAAATCTCTCAGATTCCGAGCAGGGATGCGGACACCGACAGCTTCCAGAAGGGAAGGACAGCATTTAAAACCGCGGTAAACCTGTGAAAGGAACAGTGCATCACTAGAATGCCTTCTCTTACGCAGGGTCTGGAGTTTTAAGTACACTAAAGCATTAGCGCAGATATAATGCACACGGGGGAGGAAACGATTTTAACAAAGGGCTGAAAACTTCTGTTAGATACGCTCCAGTTTGTTGGCATCAGTAGTCGTAATTGAATTCCAAACGACCGAGGTACTCGAAAGAAGAGAACGAAAAGGTTGATATGCGAACAAGACCCAGCAACTATGTGGTCAACATGGTTGTGAAATCGGAGCTTAGAGTCGATAAATATTCCCAGGTCTTTAATAGTGTCGGTACGTGTTATAGAAGACTGAAAAAGTTTTTAATCAAAGATCAAAGTAGTGGCTTTTCTGGAGAAGGAAATTACTGTAGTTTTACTAATATTGAGTTTCATGAAGTTAGCAGTGCACCAACCTTGTACCGAGTCAATGTCAGTTTGAAGTTCATTGCAGTCGTTAGGAGATTTAATGGCACGAAAAATTTTGATATCATCAGCGAAACGAAGGCATTTAGAATGATTAATTACTTGGCATATGTCATCAATAAACAAGATTAAAAGTAGAGGACCCAATGCACGTAATGTCTTCGTGGTAGTTGAGCCACTCATGCATGTCAGTTGGCGCGCCAGTCTGCTGTCTCTTTACAGCCCAAGATAATATGTTTATCACTTTGCTTTCCTCACATGGGACATAAACCTTTTATAGCTCCTACTCTGCACCCTTTTAGTTTCATCCTATGATTTCCTTTCTATTTCCACGTATAGTATATTCATGTCGAGTTTATAATATTGTCCACAGGTACAGGAAAGTGAATTTTCAATAAATGCGTCTTCTGAATCGGTATGGTACAGTAAACTCACTAAATAATTTTAAAGGGGGTCTTGCTAGTGGCTCATCTAGCACATAGTAACATAATTATATATGTCTGTGAATTAACAGCAGTAAGGGGTATGTAGGCAAAACGATATGAAATTTTACTTAAATTAATAAACTTCATGTTATGGGTAGTTTCGGCTACTTCCTAGTCACATTGTATAGAAATTTGCCTGATTATTTAAGGAAACCTAAGTTTAATTATCGTTTTCAAAAAATTCCATATCCTGAGCCACCTCAGTCCTGTT